CCATTTTGTGAATAATCATCTTCCGGGTTAGAATAGTCATCTGATGTTATATCATGAGCAGAAAATTCATCTAAATAATTGCTCTCAGTATCAGAAAAATCATCTGATGTTGTATTATAAGTAAAAAATCCATTTTCCAAAAAACTTTCCGAATTACTGCTTTTTTGTGAAATTTCATTATCACTACTTGAAGTTACTAATTCTTGATTTTCAGATGAAGTTTCAGCATTAACATCCGGTAAAAATGAATCTTGAATTTCAAACGAATTTTGCATTTCTATGACAGAGTCTAACCACGATAAATCTTGACCACAAACAGGTTTTTGTTTACTATAATTTATTAAAATTTATTAAAATAGATATTAATTTGTTTTTTAACAGTAAACCCTGCAGAGATTTACATGCTGCAGCAAACTTTAACGTTAAAAAAAACTTAACTCATTAATTTGATCATTATCTTTATCGCTCAATAACTCTGAATTTGATGACTCTGAAGATACTACAGTGGGTTTCTGGTGAGTGCGTTGAGTTTTTTTATGCCTAGTTCGAGTTCTCTTGCTAACCCAATTGCCACCGTAACCTTTCTCAGCACACGAACAACATTTACAATATACTTGATCTTTGTGGTCAGCAGTAGGCATAAGATCAAGCTCTATAATAGAGACATCACTGTCTTCGCTAAACTCCATATTAAATATTTACTTTTATTATGGTTAGAATTATTATTAATTATGAATTTTAAAAGCTTGTAACATATTTAAAGTAAACTTACATTCAAATTTGAATAAGATTTTTTTTTAAGTAAAAAAAAAAAAAAATCGATATTCTATTCGAACAAGATATTTAAAGATAAATTGAATAAGATATTTAAAAAAGTTTAAATTCAAATTCAAAGCTTGATTCATAGTCTGACAAGTAATTGAGTATATAAATAAACATTGATTACAAGTCATAAATTTTACCCTCTTTAAACGTTACGTAAAGAACTTTTATTGACTATTATGGCACCATCCAAACAACTAAATAAAAAGAACAAATGCAGTTTTTCTAATAGTAATGAATCACCCTCTCTTAGTAGCAGTCAAGTTGTTACTAATAATCATGAAATTTCTAGTTTAAAAACTCAATTAGAACGACTTAAAGCCGAAAACGAAAGGCTTTGACAGTCTCAGCAACCTGGCATTACACAAAGCTTTAATAACGTCAATGTTTCAAAAAAAAGTACTTTCCAGACAGCCAATAGTTTAACAAATATTAATAAGTTGTCATATAAGTATCATAAGGAGGTCGTAATTTCTAGTTATTCTAGTGGTTTTGAAAGTGATTACCATGATGAACAATTATCAAAGAAAAGAAAAAGCTATAAGAAAAATTATAAAAAGACTATCGGTTCTGGCAACACTAGTAGCTCTGAAACGGATGAATTAAGTAGTCAACAAGTTCAAAAAAAACGCAAACATAAAAAAAAGTACATGAATACTACCTTAAGTGATTCTGAAAGTGAAACTAAAAAGGTATTAATTTATAATCTTGATTTTTTTATTTTTTTTATTTTTTTTTTACATATATAACTTTATAATTTTTAGAAAATTTCTCAAAAAAGTCCCATCGCCAAACCTCCAAGTTTAAAGTAGTATAACTTGTCAGAATATTATCAGTAGATTATAAGATTTATGCATCGTATAGGGTATGATTTACTATAATCTTTGATAGTTCGTGATTTTATTAATTCCTTGATTTTTTTAGAAATTTTATAAAAAAATTTTTTAGAATGCAATGCGTGAATTTATAGCTCAGATATGGACCTCTAATATACCGGAATATCGTAAATTGAGTTCAACCAAAATACGATCGTTAGTCAAAAAGGTAAAATTGTTACGACGTTAAGTAATAATATATTCTAATGTTTTAATATTCAACTTTACAATTGCCAGTATAAAGCAAACAATCCGGATTTTCCTGAATGCATCAATGATTGGGCAATCAAGATGATGATGCATCGTTCTATTAATCAACAGCGTAAGTATCATTTAGAATTGATGATGATAAGTGAGCTTGTAACTAATTCTATTTTATCCCTTCAAAATATAGGTAAAAAAGAGCATGACGCTACAAAAAACAATAATGATACCCGAATTACTGAAAAAGAAACAATGGGTATAAAATAACTATTATAAAATTTGGCATTTTCTTTAATAACGTCTGTATTTAACCTCTAAATTATAGTGCTGTCTGACGATGACTACTTAGATCGCTCTGAACTAGCAACAGAAAGAGTTGAGGGTAGTTATACATATTTTTTAAATAAATACATTCGATTTTACTAATCATAATTACTGTCCAGAAA